ACCCGGGCGGGCACGGGCACCGCGGCCCCTCGGGGATGGAGGTGGGAGGGCGGTCGCAGTGACCCGGGGTAGCGCCTGGCGCAGCTCCCCCCGGCACCGACCGCCGTGTCACTGCGTCCCCTGCCCTGTGCCTCATGGCAGCCTTCCAGAGCACAGAGCGAACAGCCTCTCATCTGTTTCCCAATTTAGTCACGTCCTACCAGATAGAAGTGAGCCAGAGGAACCAGGGAAGTCGGGTTTCCTGGTGTCATTGCACTGCCCTGGAGATCAGAGTGAACAGCCGGCTCCGTTCCACGGAGGTGTCCCCTCCTTGGCCTGCTCTTGTCACCAGGACATGGCTCAAGGAGTAATCAGGAGTGTGCCAGGGCTCAGCTCTCGGTGACACCAGGGCCAGCTCGCCCTTGGCTCTGTAGCTGTGGCCCAGGCCCCACAGAAGTGGTGTGGCAGCCTGGCCATCCCCCACCAGCAGAAGCTGTGCTGGGTGTTCACCTCATGCTGTAGCACCTGGGGCTGAGTCTTTGCACCCAGGACTGGGGCTTGCTGGGTGCCCATGGGCTGGTGCCAGCCCTGGCGTTGGGTCACCTCTTCCCCACCAGCAGCTGATGGGGGTGAGGTGACTCCTGGCCTTGGGCACAGGCCCTCAGTCCTGCCGAGGTGGCTGGTCGTGCCTGCAATGAGGGCCACAAGTGAGGACCGGGTCCCAGCTAGAGCCCCTGAGCGCTCCAGGAGCTGGTGGGTTTGTCTCGGTGGTCAGGACTGCTCTGCTGCAAGGGCTCCTCTAATGAACGTTCTCTCTTCTTTCCATTAGTTTCAGTGGGATAAGACAGCTTCCAAACTCTGCGGCTTAGAAGAATTGCTGCTTGCTTAGCGCTGCCAAAGCTTCTGAGCTCATTACTGGAAGGAAGTGAAAGGTAAATTCTCTGATGCTTAAAGCTGATCTCCTCCTGACTCACTTGAGTATACTTAGAGACGCGCTGAATGCGTTCGCTCCTTCCCCACAACGCTGATGCTTGGGGCTCGGTGGGAAGATGTCCCGTCTCCCCTTGCTCTGCAGGAGCGAGTTTCCCTTGCCAGTTGGCACTGGGAGAGCCTGCAGTCAGCTTGGGCCTCATTCCTAGGTTTGGTACTTAATGTTGCAGCAGAGAGAGCCCTTGAGAGCAGCCTCCACCCTGGTAACACCTAAGTACATGAGAACCACATTTGAGACCTGCACTGGGGCCTTGTTGCAGCACCAGGCATGGTCTTTATGGGAGAAATGCTACAGAGGCAGCTGAGAGAGGTGATACACAGCCCAGGTGCCTGGGCACGCGCTCCTGCTCTCAGAGCATGGTCATAGTCTGATGTGAAGGGACAGGACCAGCACCTCCTCCCTGAAGTCACCTGTGTGCCAGCAGCACCTGCATCGCCCTGCACCACGGCCTGCCTGTCTTCGGGCCATGCCTGGGGGGGCTCAGGCTGGTGCCCCTGGGTTGTGCCCCACAGATACCTGCCATCCCCCTGCCACTTTCCCCATACATCAGCTCGAAGGCCGGCGTCTCTTCTAAGAGCTTCTTTCCTTGCAGGGCGGCTCTGCGCCATGTCCAACGACCCTCCGCCACCCTACCCCGGAGGCCCCTCGGCACCTCCCATAGAGGAGAAGCACGGCCCGCCCCCCACGACAGGTACCTGGGGTGGCAGGGGGCCCTCTGCTCTGTCTGGGTCTGGGTGCTGGGCTGGAGCAGGGAGTGTGTGCTTTCCTCGGGAATGCCCCGGCCTCCACTTGCGGCGCGCTGGGAGGCTGCTATACTGCCCGGCTCCTTCCCTCCCTGCTAACTATCCAGGGAGCTGGAGGCTGAGGGGAGAGGAAAGTGCCCCCGACCCAGAGCCAGGCTCTGTGCTCTGTCATGGGCAACACGGCCGCGTTGGGGCTCTTGTGACACTGAGGACAAGACTCTGGGCTGCTGTGACAGGTCACCAGTCCTCACGACTGTCCTGGAGCCACTGGCTGCTGGGCCCAGAGGCACTGCACACCTGTCTTGTCCCCTCCTCGGTCGCAGCATGTCCCTGTGTGCTGCATGTCCCCCTCCCTGTGGGGCTCATGCCCCATCCGTCCCCTCTCTCAGCGCGCTCAGCTTTGCCCCGTCTCCCCACGAGCGCCCGCCGCCTCCTGACCCTGCTTTCCTTTCAGATGGCATCTCCCCAGCCGGGGGGCAGCCCCAGGGGGTTCCTGTCCCCCCACCTGAATTTGGGCCCCCTCCCTACGAGCCGCCCTCGCAGCCAGGCTTCGTGCCCCCCCACATGCCCACGGACAGCTCCGGAGCCTTCGTGCCGCCCGGTGAGTTCGGACACCACCGCGGGCTGGTGCAGGACCACGAGCAGGGGCTGCTGCCCAGGGCCTGCAGGCAGGCTCCTCGGGGACAGGGGGGCACTTGGGACCATGCCTGCAAAGAACATGGCCTGGGTGCCCCCCACAAGCCTTTACACAAGGCCATGGGTTAGCAGCATGGTGTGGTCCTCCTCTGTGAGGATCCCGTCTCTCCCACCCCACACAAAGGGGGTCACCTGTGCCCATCTCTCCTTCACAGCTGGTTATTACCCACCGCAGGGGCCTTACCCGCCCATGGGCTACCACCCTGCCCCGGGCCACTACCCAGCTCCTGGTGGCCACACAGCAACTGTGCTCGTCCCGTCGGGGACGACCACCACAGTGACCGTGCTGCAAGGAGAGATATTCCAGGGTGCCCCGGTGCAGACGGTGTGTCCCCACTGCCAGCAAGCCATCACCACCAAGATCACCTACGAGATCGGGTTCATGAGCTTCCTCCTCGGCTTCCTCTGCTGCTTCGTCGGGTAGGTGCCTCAAGCCGTGGGCTGGTGCTGGCCGAGCACGGCCCTCTCCCAAGCTCACGCTGCTTGTGAGGACCAGCGGGGCTGCCATGGGCACCGAGCACTTACTGGGGCAGCATGTGGCTTCACGGGCTGAGGGGGCCTGGTGACCTTGTCTCCTGGGAGGGGACTTCATGGTGGCACCTCCAAGGCCATCAGCCAGTTGTGGAGCCCCTGTGATCAGAGGCCCTTCGTGCAGCAGCGCTGCGGACAGGGTGCGAGGGAGCCCGGTCTGGGTGGGGGCAGCTTGGACTCGATGATCTCTGCAGGTCCCCTTCCAGCCGGCGCTCGCTTGCGAGTGAAGCACTGACCCCTGAAGTGAGGGCAGGACTTCATGGTGGCACCTCCAAGGCCATCAGCCAGTTGTGGAGCCCCTGTGATCAGAGGCCCTTCGTGCAGCAGCGCTGCGGACAGGGTGCGAGGGAGCCCGGTCTGGGTGGGGGCAGCTTGGACTCGATGATCTCTGCAGGTCCCCTTCCAGCCGGCGCTCGCTTGCGAGTGAAGCACTGACCCCTGAAGTGAGGGCAGCAGCGCTGGGCAGGCTGCGGCCGGTCGACCAGGGGCAGCTCGTCACCTCTGCTGCCACCCAGCCTCCGGAGCCACCCCCGCACAGGCCTCTCCTGCTTTTGCTCACGGGTGCAGCTGCCGAGCGCCGGCTCTGCGCTGCCCGGGCTCACAGCTCCGCACGTCTCCCTCTGCTCCAGGTGCGATCTCTGCTGCTGCCTGATTCCCTGCCTGTTCGATGACTTCAAGGACGTGACGCACACGTGTCCCAACTGCAAGGCCTATATCTACACGTACAAACGCATGTGCTAACAGCACCCCGGGAGCCCGAGCCATTGGAATGACACCAGCCCCTCTCCTGCTGCCATGCTAGTCTATGCGTGTGCAACTCCTTTGCTTCCCCCGTGGCGGTGTGTATGCGCGTGCCCCGCTTCCCTCGCTCCGCGCTGCGCCCACCTTCCCTGGCTCCGGTCCTTGCTGTGAGCAGCCCGAGGGGGGACGCTGGCTGCACGGAGGGCGCGGGCTGAGGCCACGTGCTGAGCTGCTGCTGGCAGCTGCCCTGCAGCGCTGGGCACGG